ATCGAGGCTTTCGCGTCGCAGCAGCTGGCAGAGGCGGAGGCCTCAGAAGGCTTTGCGACTGCAGCCGAAGCCGCGGCGGGCGCTGCCGAAGCAGCAACCGCGGCAGAAGCGGGCGGAGGAGCTCTTGCGCTCCTGGGCGAAGGAGCCCTGGCGACTGCTGGCGCCGTGGGCGCGGCGACGGGAGGGTTGGCGGTGGCTGCTGCAGGTGCAGCCTTGGTCGGAACCGCATGGGCCATCGAGGGAGGCTTGAACGCGGCCTCCACCCTCACGGGCTGGGGCGCGGCGACGGGAGGCGGCACGGACTCAGACGCCTCGCGGCCCAGCGCGACCACGGACCTGGCGACACTGAACGGCATGCAAGAGTCGGGCGCAGTTGATCACTACTTCATCCAGGAGCAGCGCCGGGCCCAGCGCACCCAGCCCCAGGTCTTCAGGATCGACACGGACTCAGAGAGCGAGCCGCGGCCCCAAGCACAGCAACGCATCGTGGCCCGCCCGGCGCGGCGGCCCAGGGCCCAGGCCCAAACCCCTTTTGGCCTCAACAACATCCCGATCCCGGTGTCCTCCGGCAGCGACCGCTCCCGCGTCAGCCGGCAGTCCCGCGGCGACCGGGGACCTTTGGGAACGCAGCCGTCCTTCGACGCCCTTCGTCAGGCGAGCGAACCGGAAGCTGCATAGCTATGTAAAGAGAGATGGAGCAGGTTACGCAAGCCGTCAATGACGAGCTCGTGGCCAGTCTCGACTACAAGCTCCAGACGGGGAACACCAACTACATTCAGAGTCGCAAGAGCGTGCAGTACTTTCCGTCGTCCTTGAGCACTTTTTCGCAAAGCACGTCGCGGGTGTGTCGTATACCGATCACAAGCGGGACCGATTTCGTTGATCCTGAATCGATTAAGCTGGCCTTCACCTTCCGGAACACGGACGGCTCCAGCGACATGCTCTGCGGCTCGCCGGACCCCTCGTGTTTCATCGAGAGGATGCAACTCTTCGCCAACGGGCAACGGGTGGAAGACATCAGCTACTACGGGCGCAGTTGCTTCATGTATTCGCTACTGAAGCCGTCCGACTGGTGGACGGAGCTGCACTGGGAGGGCCTCCCGGTGGACGCCGGCGGCTGGGCGCAGCCGGTGCAGCCGGGGCAAAAGCGCGATGTGCTCATGCACCCGCATCTGATCGGAATGTTCAACTGCGGGAAACTCTTACCAAGTCAATTAAATCTCCTCCTGGAGATACAGTTCGCTGAACCCGAGCAGGCCATGCGCGCCGGCGTGGGCTCGAGTCTGTCGTATCAGATCGAAAATGTGCACCTTTTGGCCGATCAGGTGACCCTTGATAGTGCCCTCCGGGAGAGCTTCGAGCGTATATTACTGTCCAATCGCAGTCTCCTTTTCAGCTTTCCCAGCCTCCACGTGCAGCAGTCCTCGGTCCCGGCGGGCTCGACGAGCTACAATATCACCGTCGCGCGAGCCTTTACCAAGCTTTTGGGAGCCTTTGTGCACTTCAACAAGACCGGGGAGAACCACGTTTCGAACTTTGAATACCCCGGCGAGGCCTTCCCGAACGTCTCGGCGGCCACGGTCATGGAGGGCCAGCTGCAGCTCGGGGCCATGCAATTCCCCAGAAACAGTGTCAAAAGCATCGCCGAATACCACCACTTCCTCGCCATCATGGCCGGCACCTACGATTCAAAGCTACGAAATATGCGCCTCCCGAACTATGATAACACGCACTTCATTGCCGCGTTCCCCACGGAGCGTGTACCCAAGCACCCCACCAGCGGTTTGTCGACGAGGAGCGGCGACCTGTGCCGCTTCACGTTCAAGCAAATGCTCGCGGACCGCGTGGACCAGTGCTTCGTTGGCCTCGTATCGCTCCAAATTTGTACACTGTCAGGCTCCGGCGTCTCAGTCCTCGACTAGTGATATGGGCGTTTTGAGCGATTTTTTCACCTTTTTTGCCCCCTTCGAGCACCTCGTGTCTCGTGAACCAATGGTCAGAGTGATATAAATGTCACTCTTTCCCTCCACACTCACGGGCCGTATTTTGGACGATGGCGTCACGGAGCCGCCGGTGATAGAACTTCAGGGCATCTCCGCCGGGCAGCTCGCCACGGTTCTCACAGCCTACACCCCACAAACAGAGCACACGGCAAACACCGCGGCCATCGGAGTCAATGCCGCCGCCATCGCGGCGCTGCAGGGCCAAGTGGATGCCCTGCCCGCAGCTCCGGACCTAACCCCTTATGCTCTGGCCGCGGACCTCGCAGCAGCCGAGGGCTCCATCGTGGCCAACGCTTCCGGTTTGGTGGCCGTGAACACCAGCCTGACTGGATGCTCTCCAGGTCCAGGTCGATTCTAAGAGCACGCCCGCTTCGGTGGACCTCAAGCTGGCCAACATCCCACGAATGCTGCGATGAACAGCGCCGTGACCAGCGCAAACAACGCAACCCTGGCCACCGTGGCCGCGACCTATGCACTCACGAGTGTCGTGGACCAGCTGGCCCTCGACGTCGCCGCCCGGCAGACGGCCAGGCCATCGCCACGGCCCTGCTCCCCATGGCCAGCACCAGCGACCTCACGGCTGGATTAGCTCTCAGAACCACGCCCGCCGACGTCAGTCAGCTCATCGTTACCGCCCTGCTCCCCTTCGTCCAGCAGACGGCCCTGGATGCGGCGCTCGCCCTGAGAGACGGCCGGCTCGATGCGGCCGAGGCGCTGCTTGCAGCTCTGCAGGGCGCCGGCTACCAAACCGCGGGTGACCTGACCACGGCGCTGCTTGGGTACGTCACCCAGGGCGCATATAACGCCGGGCAAGCGCTGCAGGACAGCCGGCTGGACGCCGCCGATGCAGCCATCCTGGCGCTGCAGAACGCCGGACCCTTCGCCACCAGCGGGGACCTGACGGCCCTGCAGGTCTCGCTGCAGTCCGCTATCGACGGGCTGCTCGCGGAAATCGCCACGCTTGGCGGCGCCACCAATCTTGTCAACGCTCCCGCCTGGGTCGGGAACATTACCTGGGACCTGCTTGCCGGCACAAATCAAATCCGCAACTTGCACGCCACCGCTCCCCTGAGCATCCAGCTGGCCAACGACGACTGGACCCTGTCCTTCGCCTGCGACGCCTACTCCAAGGCGGAGGCTGACGCCTTGCTGGCGCCCAAGGCCAGCGAGTCCTGGGTGCTCGCCCAGCTCGGCGGTTACTACACGACCGCAGAGACCAACTCCGCCATCACGGCGGCTCTGGCCGACTACTTCACGCGGGCGGAGTCCACGGCGAACATCGTCACGGCCATCGGGTCGGCCAACACCTACACCGACACCCAGCTGGCCGACTACAGCACCACGCTGCAACTGACCCAGGCCATCGCCGATGCGCTGGTGCCCTACGGGACCATCGTCCAAAGGGACGCAGCGATAGCTGCAGCCCTGGCGGCCTACTCGGACACCGCTGCGATGAACGCCGCCATCGCGGCGGGGCTGGCCACCATCGCCCTGAGCCCCTACTGGACGATAGCTCAAGTGCAGGCGGCCATCACGGCTGCGCTCGTGCCCGTCACCCTGAGCAACGGCCAAACCTGGAACGGCGGGGCCACCTTCAATTTGCTCCGGGGCACGAATGTGCTGCGGAACCTCTCCGTGGCCGGCGCCCTCACGGCGACCTTCCAGAACCTGGACGACACCATCCTCATCGAGTCGGACAGCCACGCCCGATCCGAGACTTACACCCAGCTCGAGACGGGAGCTGCAATCACGGCGGCCATCGACGCCCTGGACCTCTCCCAGTTCCAGAACGAAGCGGACGTGCTGGCCCTGATTAGCACCGCGCTGGTGCCCTACTGGGACCAGACGGAGGTCTCCACCTACGTGGCCGGCGAGCTGGCCAACTACGCGACGAGTGCCTCCGTCAGCTCCAGCATCAGCTCGGCGCTGTCGAGCTATGATGATTCCGGTCAAGTCGACAGCAAGATAATAACTGCCCTCTTGGACTTTTATGATCAGGCCCAGACACAGGCCTTTGTGGCCGGCGAGCTCCTCGCGTACTACCCTCGCACGGAGCTGGATTCTCTCCTCACAGCCACCCTCACGCAATATTGGACCAGCGGTCGCACGCAGAGCGAGATCGACGACGCCCTGGCGGGCTCGGGCTTCCTGGACCAAACAGCGGGGGACGCCCGCTACTTCGTGAGAGCTCCCGGCGCGGAGTCGGGGCAGATCTTCAACTTGGTGCAGGAGCAGTTCACGCCCCGCATCGTGCGCAACCTGCTGCTGGAGGCGCCGCTGGTGGGCGACGCGATTCTGGGCAACCAGTCCACCCTGCGCATCCGGAGCGACAGCTGGTCCAAGGCCGAAGCGGACGGCCGCTTCCTGCGCACGAACGACCTGGGCCCGCTCGATGCGCGCTACTTCGTGACCACTCCCGGCGCCGAGGGAGGAGGCATCTTCAACCTGGCGCAGACCCAGTTCACTCCGAACATCATCCGCAATTTGCTCTGCCAAACGCCGCTTTCAGCGCAACCCATCCTGGGGAATGGGTCGACCCTCCAAATCTCCTGCGACTGCTGGTCCAAGGCCCAGTCGGACGGGCGGTATCCTCTGGTCGCCACCTTCAACAGCCTGGGCTCCACGGTCACCTCCATCGACAACCGCGTCACCACCCTGGAGAACACCACGGTGCCGGATATCGACACCCGCGTCACGGCCCTGGAGAGCAGCGGCGGGGTCGCCCCCACCGCCGACTTGACGGTCAACAGCCTGACGGCCACGAGCTTCGTGGACACGCCCGAGCTCCGGAGCTCGGCGGGGGACCTGCAGGTCCAGAACGCTTTGGTGACGATCCGCAAGGAGGACGGGGCGCTGCTGGCCAGCTTCGCCGACGGCGGCATCAGCATGGACCGGGACGTCACGGTGGCCGCGGCCAGCTCAACGCAACCACGGCGGATTTCGCACAATTGCTCGTGGGCACTGGAACCTTCAACTCCAGCAGCAGCGTCACCGCGAATGGAGGTCGTGAGCAACCTGCGGGTGGAGGCGCCCCTGGTGCGCTGCGACCCGGCGGCGCCCTGGCTCAGCATCGAGGGCGGCGTCCAGGGCGTGCTCGTCAACGACACCCTCCTCGTCAACGGCGCCATCGCGCCCGAGGCCAGCCTGCCGTACCTCTACCTCTCGGGCGGCACCACGGGCCTGGAGCTGAACACCAAGTTCGCCGCCGTCACGGGGCTCGGGGACCCCGGCGGCTTCTGCGAGCTGGCCGTCATCAACCAGGCACCGACGGGCGTGGCGCGGCTCTTCCTGGGCACACAGAACAACGCCCCGGCCGGCGGGAAATGCGAGCTCGTGGCGCTGGCCAACGGCGGCGCGCAGCTCAACGCCCTGGACCAGACCATCGCGCTGAACACTACGGGGAGCACGGCGAACTTGGTCATCGAGCCGAACACCGGGGGGTCCAATAATGGAGAAGTCATTTGTTTTTATGGCTTCCAGAACCTCTCGGACGAGAGGCTCAAGACGAACGTCCGGCCGGTATCGGAGGACGAGGCGCAGGAGCTCTTCGACGGCGTGGAGGCCCGGAGCTACGACCGCATCGACGGCGCCGCCGATCAGGTGGGCTTCGTAGGCCAGGAGGTGGACGCGTCGGGCCGGCTGGGCAAGAGCTTCTGCAAGCTCCGGAACTTCGACGACCGGGAGCTCATGACTTTAGACTACCAGCGGATGACGGCGGTGCTGTGGCAGACATGCAAGAGGCTGCAAAAGCGGGTCGAAAAGCTCGAGAAGAAGAAGGGGCGCAAAGGCGACTCGGACTGATGTTGCATTATGAATAAACATGTCTCGCAAAGAAGACGACGCCGAGCTCGACTTCGCATGCGAGACTGTCATGAACCGAGCATCCGAACATAACTTAGTCACACTGCTCGACAACTGGTCAACGCGCTGGAAGCATCGTGGCCGCACTCGAGCCATCGGTCCGCATGCTTACGAAAAGTACAGCACTCTCGGCTTCTTTGGACACGGCGGGGTCTTTGGCATTTCAAGAGCATCTGAAATGAAAAAAGCATGCATCGCCGTGAACCAGTTTCTCAGAGAACGCTTTCCGTCTCAGACGTGGACTTCCATCGCGGTGTTGTACAATCCGTCAATGCCTTTGCATCGCGATATCCTGAACATGAAAGGTCATGCCAATCATGCTATCACTTTAGGCAACTTTATGGAAGGTCGAGTCTGGATCGAAGATGAAAACGGACATGCAACTGCATTGCTGGAAACGAAAAGCGGTCAGAAGCTGCTTCGAGGAACGTGGGTTGACATGCATGACAAGCCCGTTTCATTCAATGCTCGGAAATACCACATGCTCGAAAAGCATCGCGGAAACATGTGGGCTCTTGCCGCTTATACACCTCAAGCATACAAACATGCTCATGAATCTCACGTCGCGGAACTGATGGAACTCGGCTTTCCCGTTCCGCCGCTTTAACACCGTTGCAGTATCGCGTAGTGACCGTAGTGACCGCGTAGTGACCGTATTGACCACGTAGTGACCGTAGTGACCGCGTCGAGTCTTTAAGTATCATTGCAGCATTATCAGGTCATTATTGGGTCATTATTGAATCATCATTGAGTCATTATTGAATCATTATTGAATCATTATGAGTCTTTATTGGAATGGTTCTATGATGACAAAACGGTTTTGTGATGTAATATTCGCAACGAAAATTAGCTCTAAGACGTACCTCCATATGAAACTCTGATGCGACCTCGATGACGTTTACGACTGCATTTCGCGACGAAAATTTGCTCTAAGACGCACCTCCATATAAACTCTGATGCGACCTCGAGATCGTTTTACGACTGCATTTCGCAACAAAAAATAGCTCTAAGACACACCTCCATTTGAAACTCTGATGCGACCTCGAGATCGTTTTACGACTGCATTTCGCGACGAAAAATAGCTCTAAGACATACCTCCATATGGAAACACGATACGACTTTTCCGCCACAGAGCTCTAAGAGGCCATTTTCGGTGAAACGTATCGCGATTTCGAATCTGAAGAACTCCTTTTGCTTTTCTACGTTTTCGCCTCAGAGCTCGAAGAGGCCGTTTTCGATGAAACGTATCGCGATTTCGACCCTGAAGAACTCCTTTCTGCCTCGAAGTTTTTCCTCCTCAGAGCTCGAAGAGGCCGTTTTCGATGAAACGTTTCGCGAAAATCGACCTTAAAAAAACCCCCCCCATAAGCCCCCTTTCGCTATTATTGCAGCCGCTGGGCCAAGCCGGATGATCGGCCACCCTCCGCAGGTGACTGGCCGACAGTGGCTAGCCCTTCGATGCTGCTCCAGTGAGTGGACTGGCTGTTCGGCCGAAGGGGGGCTTAAACCCCCCCTTCAAGCCTCCCTTAAGGGGGCCTTAAGGGGGGACCCTTGAGCCCCCCCTTAACCCTCCCTTCAAGGGTCTTCGAAGAGGGGCTTAAGGGGGGCTTCAAGGGGTGAAGGTGAAGGGGTCTTTGTTGGAGCTTGAAGAAGGTTTGAAGGGAGGCTTAAGATATGGATCTGTGGCTTTTGTTTCGTGTTGGTGTTTTGTTTTGTTAATTCCTTTTTCTTTCATTTTATTTTTTTTTACAAAAACCACCACAAAGCGATCTCGTGTGACCACCACAAAGCGATCTCGTGTGGCTTCCTCTTTTTTTGTTTTGTGATTGCGTTTTGTTTGACTTTGTGTTGTTTTTTTCATTTCGTGTCTTTCTTCTTGTTTTGTGTTTTTGATTGCATTTTGTCTCATTACTTCTTTTCGCAAAAGCCCCCCACAAAGCGATTTCGTGTGGCTTCTTCTTCTTTTGTTTGGTGGTTGCGTCTTGTTTGAGTTTGTGGTTTTTTCATTTGAGTTTGCTCTCATTTTAATTTTCGTCTCATTACTTCTTCTTCTCTCATTTTATTTTTTTCGGAAAAGCCCCCCACAAAGCGATTTCGTGTGGCTTCTTCTTCTTTTGTTTGGTGGTTGCGTCTTGTTTGAGTTTGTGGTTTTTTAATTTTAGTTTGCTCTCATGTCTTTCTTCTTGTTTTGTGTTTTTGATTGCATTTTGTTTCATTACTTCTTCTTCTCTCATTTTATTTTTTCGCAAAAGCCCCCCACAAAGCGATTTCGTGTGGCTTCTTCTTCTTTTGTTTGGTGGTTGCGCCTTGTTTGAGTTTGTGTTTTTTTCATTTGAGTTTGCATTTTTCGTCTCATTACTTCTTCTTCTCTCATTTTATTTTTTTCGGAAAAGCCCCCCACAAAGCGATTTCGTGTGGCTTCTTCTTCTTTTGTTTGGTGGTTGCGTCTTGTTTGAGTTTGTGGTTTTTTCATTTTAGTTTGCTCTCATTTTAAATTCTTCGCAAACCACCCCAATAAAGCGATTTCGAAAACCCACCCAAAGCGATTTCGTGTGGCTTCTTCTTTTTTTGTTTCCCCTTCAAGCCCTTCGACCCTTCGTCCCCCCCCCTCCCCCTTCACCCCCCTTAAGCCCCCCTGCCCCCCCTTCGTCGAAGGTCTGGGGCCCAGCCCCGAACCGAGGGCGGGGCATCAAAAATGCTGACATAGAGGCTAGTTTGGACGAGAGACTGGGATTGCAAAAGGATGGCAGCCTCGAGTGCTTCTCCCGCAAGTGAGTCCGCTACCGTGTTAGCACTACATCGGATCTCCTCCCACTCAACTCGGATGTGCGACCGAGCCAGGGTATCCTATGCACTTTGGAACGGAGCCGTCCGAAGCCGGCTAAGTAGGCTACGATTGCTAGATTGTCCCTGAGACCCCTCGCACCCGAGGGGTGATTGCGTACTCTGGCGATCGGACCGCCTCCGCCTCAGCCTCACAAGCATCCGAGCAGTCCGGTAGTGGCAAAGAGAAAGTGATATCCGTACAGAGCGTCGGCGGGGAACCGCCGAGGGTCAGTAGCCCGGTGGCGCGCGCAAGAGAAAGCATCAACTGCTAAAATACTAAGGCCGCGGGAGAAAAGGCAGCCTGTTTGCGGGCCATTACGCAAGCAGTCTAACAGCGGGCCGGAAACAGACCGGAACCGTGCTGGCGCGCCCCAGTAAGCAGCGCTTGCTGTTCTAACTGCATGTTTAAGGGGCTCCGTGTCAAAGGTCCCAGATGGTGGAGCCGGGGGCCCTCATTGCGCCAAGCTTGCGAAGACATTGCCGCGCTACGGCAACAAGCTCCAACGAAGACGCGGCGTGTTGCCCGCCTAAAGTTCCAAGGGCCGATCGAGTTCCAGCAAGCATGCTAAATGGGAATGACGGGGCACTTGTGGAGCCAGTGCCTTACCGAGTTGTCCGCCCATGTGAATACTGTGCCCGTTTCTTTCATGTTGATTTAATGTACTTCCATAAGAAAGCAAGGCTTGGAAGCCTTAATCCTGAAAGCTTGTTTTTTTCCAAGCTGGACGCGCGCCTGTGTGCCACAGTCGCCTTGTTGTGTAGCAGTCAGGCGGACGTGCCTCAAAGTAGAAGAATTCGCGACCCCCCAAAATGGGGCCGTTTGGCGGCCCCATTTTTGGGGTCGGGGTTCCAAGCCTCCAACTCATGCTCAAACTATATATTTAATGAGGCCGGGCGCATGTCGCAGCCCTGTTTTCGGGGCCGCGAAACGGCCCCATTTTTGGGGTCGCAAATCGCAAATGTTCGGGGCCAACCAGCTGGATCTCGGGCGTGCGCCTGCCTGCCTTTGTTCCCGCAGTTTTGGGCATCATGCAGACGCAAGATTGAAAAGCCAGAAGTCTTGTCCAAAGCAGCTGCACGCTCACCTTAAATGCCACAACCAGCGGATTTGCAACTGGGGAGGCCCATTGTGGCGAAGCCAGAATTGCTTTCGTTTCGTGGGCCCAGAAACGGGGTCGTCCGCAGCATCATTTCTTGGGCTCATCCTGCTTCTATATCCACTGGAGATCAGTGTCAGTTTGCAATGTCATCGAGGTATCTCGAGGATCTTTTTAAGCCAATCGAGATCTTTGACGTTTATTAGGATGCATCGCTGCGACACGATCATCGAAGCTCCTGTCTAGGATTGCCAAGATCTATGGCTCTATGGAGTCAGCAATAGCCAATAGCTTGCAAGATCATCGAAGCTTGTTGAAGCCTTTTTCTAGCTCCAGCAAGTGGACTTGGAGCCAGCTCCGGCTTAGAATTCTCTGTAGTAAAGAAAGAAGAAAGGCAGCCCACGTGTTCGTTCAGGTCCGAGGCTTCTGGTGACCCCTTTAATACATCCGGGCCACAAACGTGTGGCTTTGAAGCCACATAAGCCACAAACGTGTGGTTTTGAAGCCACATCAAGGCCACTTAACGTGTGGTTCTCAAGCCACATCAACGTGTGGTTTTGAGGCCACATCATCTGAGCGGTCACAAGGTCCCGCTTTTTGCGAGGAGTCCCAACCGGGTCCCACCGGGCCCATCCAAGTCCCACCTTCTGCGTCACCGAATCCCGTTTTTTTGCTCGCCGGGTCTTATCCGGGTGTCACCGGGTCCCATGTTTCCCACACAAGAAGTTTCATCTGGTTGTCACGTGTCCCATACTTTGCTAGCCAGATCGAATCCGGGTCCCACCGGGTCCCACCGGGTCCCATCCGGGTCCCACCTGGGTCCACCCGGGTCCCATTTTTCTAGGGCCGGGTCCCACACCCCGTTTAGGTTTTAAAAGTTTAAATGAACGGCGAGGCGGGACCCATGCACGGTTTTTGTGCATGGAGCTGCCTTTAGCATTGTAGTCCAGGTCATGTCCCAAACGGTGTCAACACTTCTTCAGTGAAAGCATGCATGAATCAAAGCATGTTCTCGCGAAGCTCGCACTGCTTCAGCAGTTGAGGCACTCTCGTTTGCCGTGTGCTTTCCGAAGGTGGAGGAACGAGATAGAGAAGATTAGCATGGCCCCTGCGCAAGGATGACACGCGCAAGCCGAGAAATCTACCAACGTGAAGCACAAGATAGCAGGGACAGCTGCAAGCTGCAGGAACTACAAGACCAGAAGAGTGCAGAGACTACGGTAAGATTGTAAGCTCCGAACCCACGAGGGAGGCTTTGGAAGGCTTCAGTTTCTGTCTCGAAACCCCACAAATGACGGTTCGAGAGGCTTTGCACTGTTGGTGAAAATCGCAAGCTTCGCGACTCCAAATGTAGGGCTGGAAAAGTCCAGCAATTCTGGCTTCGCTTGAGCGGGCCTCCCCTGTGCCCGTTTCTTTCATGTTGATTTAATGTACTTCCATAAGAAAGCAAGGCTTGGAAGCCTTAATCCTGAAAGCTTGTTTTTTTCCAAGCTGGACGCGCGCCTGTGTGCCACAGTCGCCTTGTTGTGTAGCAGTCAGGCGGACGTGCCTCAAAGTAGAAGAATTCGCGACCCCCCAAAATGGGGCCGTTTGGCGGCCCCATTTTTGGGGTCGGGGTTCCAAGCCTCCAACTCATGCTCAAACTATATATTTAATGAGGCCGGGCGCATGTCGCAGCCCTGTT